TAACAGATCTGGCTCCCAGGCCTTCCCCCAATTCAATAACCATCAAAATGATTGTTGGCTTTATGCAGGACACACACATTCCTGCAGGGATGGAAGACGGCAGGAGAGAGGTAGGTGAAGGACACAGAGGGTACGGTTTGTTTTAGAAGCCAGAGCTGCTCCACATGCTGTATTCCATCACTTTCCATTTTGATTGAAATGTGTTTTGCTATATGCCCATCCATCCACCCATCTATCCATAGATGCATCCATCCACCCATCCACACATCCATGCATCAACTCACCCACATATTCTTTTATTATCTATACATCATCTGTCTATAAATACAGAACACTTTCCTCCTCCCCACATCTATCCATCCATCCATCCATCCATCCATCCATCCATTCATCCATCATCTTTCCATCCACTCACCCACCCACTAATCCATTCATTGATCCATCCATCCTTTCATCTACCCACCTCACCTATCCATCTACCCATCCATTCATTAATCTACCCACCCACTCATCCATCAACCCACCCATCCATCTATCCATCCAACCACCCATTCACTCATCTATCCATCCAACCACCCATTCACTCATCTGCCCATCCATCCATCCATCTACTTGTCCATCCACTCATCCATTCACCCATCCATCCATCATCTTTCTACCCATTCACCCACCCACCTACTCATCCATCCATCCAACTTCCCATCAATCTACTCATCCATCCATCCATGCATCACCTTTCCATCCATCCATCCATCCATCCATCCATCCATCCATCCATCCATCATCCATCATCTTTCCATTCACCTACCCACCCACCCAAGTGAAAAGTGTTTGGCAATGGTACTACACATAAGAAGGTTATGCAGCATAACTCAGGTGAAGGTCATGGGTGTGCCCCACATCTGGACTATCTCTACTGCAAACACCACTGGATCTGAGAGGGACTGCTGTGCCATGACAATGTGGCTAACTTGTGGGGGAAAAACCTATACTTCCCAGTTTCAAAAAAGGAATGTCCAACATGCTGTTCCTAGGAACGTTCAATGTAAGCAAGCCAGATACGACTGTGGAAAGAAGGCAGAAGCTGCACAGAGGAGGCTGTCTAGAGAGTGGAGCATCATCTCAGACCCTTGATCAAGGACCTTATGTGGACAAAAGCCAGACAAATCCTGATTCTGGAGAGTCTGAAAATTGGAAACCCTGGTAGACAGTTGAGGGGTAGGACTCTGACACAGGCAGTGAGAACCAACCAGGGGCAGAGAAGGCAGGGAAGGGTCACCTCAAGGACAGACACTCATGGCCTTGGAACCAGAAGGACTGGGGACATTGGGGTGGGGACCAAGGCAGAGGGAAATCCTTAGAGATGAGCTTGGCCTGCAGTTGGTTCTGTGGTCTGGAGGGGGAGCTGCCCACAGGGACAGTGGTCATGATTGGACAGATAGGAAGTGGGACACCATGAGGGGGAAGAACTTGAGTGTGAGGATGAGACGCATGGTCCCAGGGTCATACACCTGTTTACCTGGAATCAGGCCCCCAGATGTGTGGCCTTGGGCAGGTGGCTTTACCTCTGCTCTGTGAGTTCCCCATCTGTACGATGGAGCCAACCGTGTTGGTGCCCCAGGACCATAGGAAAGCATTCTAGAGCTGAAGGGGACGGTGATACTCACCCCCCTTTCCAAACCCAAGGGGATGAGCATGACTACATAAACACAGCCCCATATCTCTCTGGACCTTGGGTTTTCTGAACAACTTAGACCTCTGCACCTACCTGGTTCCCTGCTTCCTGAACTCAGCTCTTCAGGGTATTGGGGCAGGGAAAGAGTCCAAGACCCAGAGCAAATCCAAAACCTGCCACCAAGATGTGTCCACTCCTGTCACACCTGCCCTACACAGGAGTCAGATGGGGTCCCTCAAACAGAAGAGAAGTTATGGAGGAGAAGGGATCAGTCCAGGGCCAGCCCAGTCCACAGTCTCCAGAATCTGGGCCCCAGGCTCAAATTGTTCTTGATCCTTCGGCACTCTGAGTGGGTCTTCTCTAAGGGAAAGCAAAAGTCTTAGAAAATCCAGGTCAGGGCACACCTACCCTGAGGGCAACAGTGACCCCACACATGATCCTACTGCCCCTCAGAGCCCACGCTCTGGGGTCTCCACCTATACCCTGGCACAGAGGCCGCCTATGTAGGCAGCTCAGCTATGTCGACGGGAAACGCTGGGTCAGGGGATGGGAGATGGTGGGGCTCAGCAGAGGCCTCCATCTGGATTTGTGCGAGGTAACAAGAGAGAGGTTTGGGCTGCCTGGACACGGCGTCCACCTTGTGACCACAGTCCAGACAGAGTGGTCATCCCAGAGAGGTCATCCCAGACAAAGAGGTCATCCCAGACAGAGCGGTCATCCCAGACAGAGCCGTCATCCCAGACAAAGTGGTCATCCCTGACAAAATGGTCATCCCAGACAGAGTGGTCATCCCTGAGAGAGTGGTCATCCCTGACAGAATGGTCATCCCAGACAGAGCGGTCATCCCAGACTGAGCTGTCATCCCAGACAGAGTGGTCATCCACGATGGAAGGTCATCCCAGACAGAATGGTCATCTTAGATAGAGTGGTCATCCCTGACAGAGAGGTCATCCCTGACAGAGAGGTCATCCCTGATGGAAGGTCATCCCAGACAAAACGGTCATTCCAGACAGAACAGTCATCCCAGGAACAGCTCCTGAGCCTCATTCCTCCACACAGAGGGTGGTCTGCCACCTGCGTCTGTCCACATAGGGCAACGGAAGGGCAGCATGAGCACATTCCGGAACACTGCCCTGCTTCACCCTCAGCATTGTCCAAATGAAGGCACATGCAACCCACCTGGCTCCATCCTCCCCAGACCTCAAGGCTCGTTTCTGAATGCAGCGTCCTAATCCCCTAACTCCACGGGACTCGGGAAGACTGAGGGCAGCATCTGGGGGATTGTTGTTGTTGTTAAGTATGGAGTCGGTTCTGACTCATAATGACACTACACAGGGTTTCTGAGGCTGCAACTCTTAACGGGAGCAGAAAGCCTCATATTTCTTCTGCAGAACAGCTGGTAGTTTCAAACTGCTGACCTTGAGGTTCGCAGCCCGATTCGTAACCACTACGCTACCAGAGCTCCTTAGCATCTGGGGATGCTAGTATGGATATGCATGTTGCTTCTGACACCTCGCCAATGGCCCAGGGGGGCATCCCAGATGCCCCAACTCCGATGGTCAAGATCTGGGTCTGGATTGGGAAGCATGCCTCACCTGATGACCCACAGCATGGCCTGGTCACACCCTGGGCAGCAGCTCCTCAGAAACCCGGAGCTGTGACCCTCTGTATCAAACACGACTCTGCCTTGAAGAGCAACGGGAGACCCCACTGTCTGTTGGGACTGCAAGCTGAGGAGGAAGACAGGGGCTACAGAATTTGATTCATTTTACTTCAAAAGGCATCGGCTGACGTATTTAGTAAGGACAATAATTGTTAGTAGATGCTTGCTATAAACCATACACGTGTACACGCAAGTATGACTCGATTTCCACTCCTGCCTCACACACACACAAAATGAGGAAAGCACTATGGCTGTACCCATTTTACAGATGGGGAGACTGAGCCTCAGGTTGGGCAGCAGCTTGCCTAAGATTACGCAGCTACTCAGCGGGGCTGCTGGGATTTCCATCCAGCCCAGCTTCCCTACAACAAACGATTCTTAACATACTGCATTTCTGGAAAGGCGTTTTCCTGACCCAGTGGAAAATCAAGGAAGCTGTGTTTTAAGGTTCTAATTATTTTTCAGAAAGGAAAAGCATTTTCCTGAATCTTCCCAATAATCAACCACCCAGAGATATTAGGAATGAGAGAGTAGGCACAGCACTGTCATTGCTGTTGGTAAATGCCACTGAGTCGGTTCCAACTCATAATGACCCTGTATAGGGTTTCCAAAGGAGCTCTGGTAGCGTAGTGGTTACGAATCGGGCTGCGAACCTCAATGTCAGTAGTTTGAAACTCCCAGTTGTTCCTCAGAAGGAAGATGAGGCTTTCTACTCCGGTAAAGATTTACAGCCTCAGAAACCCTGTACTGGGTCGCTATGAGTCGGAAATGACTCCACAGCACATAACCAACCAAATAGGGTTTCCAAGGAGCAGCTGGTGGGTTTGAACTGCTGACCTTGTGGTTAGCATATAGTGCTGATGCTACAGAGCCACACCAGGGGTCCATAGAGAAGTCACTGCACCCTAAGTTAACCCCAGTCCTCAGTGCCGCTGCCCAGCCTCAGCTCACCATCCCACCTCCAGACCAGAACCTCCACCAACAGACATGATCAGCAGCGGTCACTAAGATCGCCGCACAAGTGGCCAAGCAGGTACCAAAGCCAAGAGCTTTACACCTGGGCCCAGGTAAACCCCCACAACCCTGGAGGGGCCATCACTCTGACCCTCCTTCTACAAATGAACACCCAGACACTCACCAACACCACCTGCTTTACCCAGATTCAGAGGCAGCTCCAGGGTTGGTCCTTGTCCTTCAACACCCGTCCCTCCCTCCCCAACAAGCCCCGCGGTGCCCTTGTCAAGGTAACCATTTGTCCCTTTCCTATGCCGGCCACATCTGGTATCAACAACAAGGGCAGCAAACAGTTAAAATCATGGACTGTGGGGGAAGGTTAGCATTGGACTGCTAACTGAAAGGTCAGTGGTTCAGACCCACCAGCTGCTCCATGGGAGACAGATGCAAGGCAGTCTACGTCCACAAAGAGTTTTAGGCCTGGAAACTTTCCAGGGCAGTTCTGCCCCGAGTCCACCTCTCCAGGTTTCTGAAGCCTCCGCCCTGTGTGGCTGACACCACACCTGAGAGCTCCTGCCCCACAAGTCAGCAGCAGCACCAGCTTTGGACACACGGAACCAGGGACCCAACTTCAGAGACAGGCTTCTCTGAAACAGTTCCTACGGGGCATCTAGGTCGAGGGGCCACAGTGGACAGCCCACTGCTTACCTCGAACACCTCCTCATCCAGAATCCTGGTACCGAAGACGATGATGCCATTGACGTCGATGATGGGGTGGTCACTCCGGTCCAGGAACTTGGTGGTTTTCTTTTTACAGTCCAGGACTAGGGTGATATTCTTCTTGTGGATGCTGAGAGCAATTCTGTGCCACCTGCAGAGAAAAAAGGTTGGCCATGCCGCTGAAGCAGGGTTTGGGTCCAAGGAGCTCCCATGCCCAGCTGCTAAAAAAAAAAAACAGGGAGTATTGGGATCCCCTACGTCCGGACAGATCAGCCTTCGGGTCAAGCAAGCAGGGGCACACATCCCTGAGCTGCTCAGGAGAAGACGGCTGAGGCACAGACATGGACTCAGACACTGGCCCTAGCTTGGACCCCTGGTATTGAAGATCAGCACAAGCCCATTCACAGCACCTGTCACTCCCTCAGAGGAAGGAGCAGGGTGATGGCTGTCCCATGGGTGCCGAGGTAGAAGTTGGAGGTTCGAGTCTACCCAGAGGTTCCTCAGAAAGAAGATAATCTACTTCTGTAAAGTCCGCTATTGAAAACCCAGTGGGGAGCAGTTCTCCTCTGACACACGCAAGGGCACCATCAGTCAAAGATTTCAGTTACTGTTCTCAGTGCATGAACTGGGTCACCAAGGACACACGCCAGCAAGGACTCTGTCTGGATGGAAAGAGGGTCAGTCTGGAATTTTACTTAACCAGGAACCCAGGAACGATGTCCTTCAACGGTCTCTACGAGCGGCCTCCCAGGAGACTCTGAGTGGGTGGTGTCCAGTGAGCCCCGACAGGAAGCCCGCAAGACTTGCCTTTCCCCTTTCCCGACTCAAATCCTTTACTCTCACATCCAATGCATCTGTGCCTTGAAGGCTGCCCTGCATCTTTCCTAGAACAAGCTGGCTACGACTTCGCCACTTCCTACATCCCTTCTGAAGCAAAGACGCCTTCCAGCACTTGATGCCCTTTAGGGTGTCCTAGTGGGTTAAGCACTGGGCTGCTAACAGTAAGGTCGGTGGTTCAAACCCAGCAGCCGGTTCTCAGGAAAAAGCTGAGGCTATCTGCTGCTGTACTATGTACAGCCTCGGAAACAGTGTGGAGGCGTCCAGCCTGTCAGAGCTGCTCAGACTGGAAATTGACCCTGGAGCAGTGGACTTGGTGTGGTTTTATACTGCGCTGTACAGAGGAAAAGGGAGCAGAGGGTCTCCCCAGAACTACAGAGGACAAACTGAGAGCAGCGTCCAGGACTAAGGCTCCAGTGTGGGGCTCTGCGCATGTGTTGCCACCTCTGGGGGGTCTCAGAGATTCCCACTGCCCATGGAGCTTCAATGCCCCACCGCGGCCGGCGGCTCCAGGTGCCAACTGTACCCACTTACTTGCCGTCTGACAGATTGATACCCCTGAAAAGTGGGTAGTCTTCTGGGCCTGGTTTTCCCATGTGGTCCTCATATAGGAAGACGGGGGAGCGTCCCATCTCCAGGCCGATCTGCTGAATGCCTTGCTCATTGTAGACAGACACCAGGAAGGCCTGGCTGCCCTTCTTGGCTTTCACAGTGGTTAGAATGGAGAAGTCCTCAGGGAACGCAGACGCTGGAACACAGAACACGGTCATAAGGCGATCAGCATGGGCCAGCTACGCCCAGCACACAGCTCTCTGCAGGCACACACTCGGGGCCATTCACTGCACATCTGCCCCTTGATCAAGCTGTTCCTGCAGCCCCTCCTAATTGCCTCATGTCTAGTAAAGGCTCAGTTCAACACAAACTCAGCCATAAAACCCTGTGATCCTTGCAGCTGCTCACCTCCACTCCCTCTGCCCAGTTCCCACATCTCACAGAATATATTTGTGCAGAAAATCCAGCTATGATCATGCTGTGGGCTGTTCCTGATGTGCTGTGTCCAACAGGAGGGGGTGGGGCAGGGAGAAGGGAACAAGAGGGCGCATGTGTGGGACCTAGTCTAGAGCTGCACTTTGTGACAGTCCCTGACCAACATGAGAAACAGAAGGAAGGACAGAGAGATTCTTTCAATGCTTCAATCAAATTGCGATTAGAAACCACCTGATACACTGATGAGAAGGAATGCATTGACAACACAGGTCAGGAGCCAGTAGAGGTCACCCGGAGGTGGGAAGTGTGTGACTGGGACCCCGACCTTCTCAGAACCACCCAGAAGGAGCTGGTTTCCAATTACGGATGGGGTCACGGGCCTGCCTCTCCCTCCAGCCCACCAGGAGCTGAGGCTCTGCCATGGGGCAGAATAAAATAAGCAAACCACTCTGGTCCTGGCCTTTTGCTGGAATCCTAATAAGGGTAAGCAGGTGAGCCAGACACCATAGCCCTGAAGCGTGGTGGAGTTGGGTCTCCTTGGTGGTGGTGGCTCCGAGAGCTGTCTGAGAGCGCCCTCTGCTGGTGGGACGGGGGCAGCCAGCAGCACGCTTCTGCTTCAGGTCTGGGGACAGGAGGCTATATTGGGGAGACAGGACCTCACAGGCCACCAGAGAGGGGAGAGGTCTGAAGGACAGGTAAAGAGGGGGACCGCAGCAGCTACAGATCTCCACCCCGCTTTGGGGCCCTAAGCCCTCCTTACAAGTGCCCTGTGGCTGAGAGCTGGGCACACGGGTCCCACTCCTGTGCCTTTGTCTCTGTCTACAGAGAAAGACTGCCCTGCATGCCACATCCTATCCCCTCAGAAATGGGGTGGGGATCGGCGATTAGGGGAGTGAGCTCAATTGTTCTTGGTGTCCCTCTGGGAACCAAGAGCTCTGTATCTTTCTTGTGCCCAACCATTTCAGAGGTGGTCTCAGTCATCAGCCCACCACCCCCACCTAAGATGCCATTTTTGTCTCAAACAAGGAATGACAGATGGGGGGAGGGAGGACCCCCACTCTCACCCCGTGTAAGACACTGCTTCTCCATTTTTAACATTATTATGGTAACATTTTCTCTCAGCTCAGATAGCCTGAGAGGAAACGTTATGTTTCATGTTCATCTGTCTCCCAGGAAGGTAATGATGGCTAGCCATCACTGTCCAGGTGGTCTATATCTGGGACTGGCACGTTTTGTAACTAACCACCTTGGAGTCTGGGAAAGACAGCCAGATGTTGTCAAAGCTTCCTAAAAAGCTGGGGGTGATTCCTTTCCCACAGAAGCCCAAAGGCACTAGAGCACTTGAGGTACATAGTAGGTGTTTAATAGATGCATTTGCAGTTGAAGGATCTCAGACCAAGCTGTGTAAGTAAGTGGCGCTGAGCACTGAGACTGTACATTTGTCCCTGCCCACTGTGTGCCAGGAAGCTGCCTGCTGGGCTCCAGGGGAACCAAGGACTGTCAGGCACTGACCCTGCCCCCAGGATGAGGCACTTGAGTGATGGAGACAAGGAAAGTTCATTGAATAGTTGTACATTGTGAGAGGGGGGCTGTGAGGGCAAAGGCTGCAGGAATGGTGGCGTGGGGGAGGTTAACCAGGGCCAGGTGGCCACGTGACCCTGGGAGGAGGTGGTGCCACAGCTAACATCTCGCGGTCCCAGCGCATCTGGGGTGAAGGGCCGGTCCTACAGAAAGGAGTCCCACATAGGAGTCCTGCCATACCCCCACCCCCAAAGGCAGCCTGGAGTTCAGGTCTGGTCTGAGGCTTAGTGCGGGGCAAGGCTGTGCAGACCCTCCTGCCCACTCCCTAGAAATGAGCAGACCAGACCCCGGGAATCATCAGGTATGTGATGGTCTTTGTCTACACCAACAACCACGTCACATGCCTTGTCCTGCGTGTTCCAAACATGTTCCAGTAGCAAGCCTGAGAGACCGTCTATGTTCCCCCATGGAAACAGAGACCGGACCACACCCCTGCCCAAACCATGGCAAGTGGCAGACCCACATGAAGGCTTGTTGTTGTTGTTAAGTAGAGTCAGTTCTGACTCACAGTGACCCTTTATAGGGTTTCCAAGAAGCAGCTGGTGGGTTTGAACCCCCGACTTTGCGGTTAGCTGTCCAGTGCTTATACACACCAGGATTCCTCCAAGAGATAAGATTCTCATTTCCGAGAACCTGTGGTTAGGGCAGGTCACAGACTCCTCACCACCAGGGCTCCGGGTCTTTTCCCAGACCCCTGCCTCATCCCTCTGGCTCAGAAATTCTTACGTGGGGTACACAGAGCGGGAAAACATGCAAATGATCCTATGGTGTTGTGGTTCATTGTAAGTCGGTTCTGACTCACAGCTATGCCATGCAATGGGCCAATCTCATAGATGTGTTTGTCCCAAAAGGTAGACAGGTAGACAGGTGTGCTTCCCAAAAGGTAGACAGGTAGACAGGTGTGCATCTGGTTGTGTCCCCTTGAGGACTGCAGTGTCCTGAGCTGGCCCATGGTCCTTCCAATCACCTCAGGCAAAAGCTGGACATTGATTCAAGAAGACTGGAGAAAAATTGAGTGATGGTGTTGAAGAGGAATATTGAAAGTCGCACGGACTGCTAGAAAACCCAACAGATATGTCTTGGGAAAAGTGTGACCAGAATGCTCCTGAGAAGCTAGGATGGGAATTGTTTCTCACATACTTGGACATGTAACCAGAAGGGACCATGTTCCTGGAGAAGGACATTATGCTTGGTAAATTAGAGGGTCAGTGAGAAAGAGGAAGACCCCCAAGGAGATGGACTGACACAGTAACTGCAACAACAGACTCAAACGGGAATGACCATGAGCTTGATGCAGGACCGGGCAGTGCATCTAACAACGATGACAGATGCATAGGAAAACAAAGTCCCTGTGATTCTGGGCGAGGGAAGGTCACCAGGTTCTCGGTATCTCATGAAGCTACAACAGGGACATCAACATTACTGGTGATCTAGACACCCAAAGGTGGGCTCTTTAAGAGGCCATGTGCTGGGAAGGATCCCTGACTGCCTTCTCTCCTCTCTGCAGGACTACAAGCAGGGACAGGGGTCTCTGAATCGTGTCCTCTCTCCAAAACGACCCTCCTGAGGAGATAAGTCAACTCCCTCTCAGGAACAAACTCTTCAGGGCACCATGAGTGAGAGGCCAAGAGGACAGTTGGAGGCAAGCCCACATCGTGTGTGGGAAGACTGGAGGAAGTAAAGAAGCGGTCACTGAAAGCGTGAACCCCTCCAGAACCCAGGGGGCCAACAAAAGAGGGTACCAAATCCAGGTCCACCATCAGGGTCACCTGCAGACTCCAGGGCACAGAAGGAGGCCCCCCTTCCAGACCCAGTCACCAGTGCCCAGGGGCGGGGGCGAGGTCAGCAGTCTCTAGCTTATTTACACATGTCCAGATAAAATCCAGGACTCACTGGCAGTGGGAGGGGAGGCACTGCCCAATGCCAGGTGGCAGGGACAACCTGGATGTCATCTGGGTGCTGGCTCTGTTCCCACTCTAAGTGTGTAATTAAAAGCAGGGATCTGGCACCTGGCAATTGATTCTCATGAAAACCTCCCGCTCGCTTGTTGGGAGTGGTTATGTTTGACCCCATGCGTCTCCTAATGCCGTTGCCCCCAACTAAGCCTCTGACCAGGGGCACTTCCTGTCCCATAACACTGCTGTCTCTCTTGGCCGGCTACCCAGGAACCATCAGAAGGTGGGGTCCTGGCTGCTCATCTACAGCCTGGAGGACACCTGCCCAGGAGAGCAGAGGGCGTACAGGGACAGCTGCTCAGGGTTGGTCTCCACCACAATGAGATCTAGTTGGGGCTCCCCGAGCCCATTTTCCCATCCCTGCACCCCATCTGGAGGCCGAAGCATCCGTGTGCATGCGTGTACTCACAGGGATAGAGCTGTCTGGTGGGCGCGCTGAGCTGGGCATCCTTGGTGACTCTGTAGGCAACGTCTGGACCTTTGGAAGATCGCCGTGTTGCACAGAAACCTGTTGTCTTTGTGATGCCATCAGGTAAGTTGTGGAAATCTAGAACCTTCAGAAGATCTGCTGGCTGAGCTGAAATGAGAGGTGGGAGGGGAGGGATTAGACACTGAGTGAGGAAAAGGGCATTCACAGTGCCCCCGTGAGAAAACGCCCATGGAGTTTTTGAAATTGGGGTCCCTTGGGTTTCAGAGGCTTAGGCAGTGGCACTTTCTGAAGAAACCCAATCTCAGACCCTCCACCTCGTGCTCATGTTTGCTGGCTATGAGCATCAGTGCCCAGGTCCACCCTGGTTGTTACAACCTCTGCGGGTCTGTAGTTCTGCCCTTCTTCTCCACCACTCACTTCTCCATCTGTGGGGACTCAAGTGTTGCTGGGATGCTGGAAGTTAGCCCACCATTATTTCAATTATTAGCAGGGTCACCCACTAGCATGCAGGTTTCAGCAGCGCTTCTGGACTAAGAGAGACCAGGAAGAAAAGCCTGGTGATCTTCTTCAGAACCCTGTGGCTCATAACAGTTCCCTGTCCAGTAGAGGTGAGTCTCCTGGGTTGGAAGGTACTCAGAATGTACAGTGACCACTCAGCTGACCAGTGATTGTGAGGATGGTGCAGGCCCCAGAAGTGTTTTGTCCTGACGTACAGGCAAGCCTTGCTTCCTTGTGCTTGGCTTGCCACACTGCAGATACAAGTGCAAGGAGTGTGGCAGCCTGGCACCAAGCAAGCCTGTTGGCACCATTTTCCAACAGAGTGTTCACTCTGTGCTTCTGTGTCCCATCGGATATTCTCACAATAGCTCAAAGTTTGTCATCACACTTACGCACACTTCCTAGATCATAGTCTGTTGTCGACATCACTTTCATCTGCACTGGGAATCGCACACTGTATGGGACTGGCTTTATTTGCACACTCCGTTTTATTGCAGGGGTCTGGAACCATATCCATAATACCTTTGAGGTCTGCATGGGCGTGGGGTGGCCAGGAATCGAGCTTTCAGCCACTGCCCAGGGTAGAGTTAAGTGTCATCCAGTCCACGGCTACAGCCATGTGGTCTCACTGAGGCAAAACAAAGCTACCGCTGTCCAGTGGGTTTCAACACACAGCGACCCTGTTGGGCAGAACAGAACTGCCTCATAGGGTCCCCATGGAAGCCAACCCTCACATCTCTCTCAAAGCAGCTGATGGATTCAAACCACCTATCTCTTGCTTAGCAGCCAAACGCTTAATGACTCCACCAAAACATGACCTCTGTTTTCTTAATGGCCGAGTTAATTCTGACTCCTTGAGACCCCATATGTTACTGAGTAGAATTCCTCCATGGGGCCTGCATGACTGTGACCTTAATGTAAGCAGATGGTCAGTCCCTTTCCATGGCGCCACCTGGTGGCTTCAGGCCAACAACCTTCAATCTAACCACTGAGCACAAACTGTTTACGCCACCCCCAAAGTCTGGAACCCCGCAAGGCTGACAGGGTCGCCTGAACATGGTTCTGTTAGGAAACCAGAGTGATCGATCGCAAGCAGACAGAGAATTCTGAAGGTGATTTGTGAAAGGGCAAAGCCCTTTGGGACTCCGTCCTGCATCACTGAAGAGGGCAAGGGACCCAGTGAAAATGCAGTTCTCCAATCACAGTTCGCAGCAAATACCCAGTTTCTACCCCCCCACCCATTCAAAAAAACAGACGCTTATATCATAAGAGAAGAATCTCTGGTAGCATAGTGATAGTGGTTAAGAGTTGGGCTGCTAACCTCAAGGTCAGCAATTCGAAACTACCAGTCATTCCATGGGAGAAAGATGAGGCTTTCTGCTCCCGTAAAGATTTACAGCCTCGGAAATCCTATATGAGGTCGCTATGAGTCGGAACCAACTCCATGGCACACAACCACGGCCACCATATTGCAAGAAAGAGACCTGTTGGTGATGTGGGCTAAGCAATGAGCTGCTAACCACAAGGTTGGCAATTCAAGCCTACCAGCCACTCTGAGTGAGAAAGATGAGGCTGTCTACTCCCATAAAGGTTGACAGACTTGCAAACCCTGGGGAGCATCTCTACTCCTTCCTACAGGGCCTCCGTGAGTCAGCATCAAAGGCAAACCAAAGACAAGACAGACGGAGGAACGGAGAGGCAGGTCCCTGCATCACCATGGAAGGCTCTACCCCTCAGTCAGGTTGTAGTCCTACCAGCCTCTTCCAAGCTGGGCAGCAGAACCAGAGGGCAGAGGATAGCTGACCCAAGGCAATGAAATCACCAGTGACCAGCTGCTGTCAAGCTGGCTTCATCTCATGGAGCCTCTATGTGTGTCAGATGAACTGTGCTCCACAGGGATTTCAGTGGCTGATTCTTCTCAAGCCAGGCCTTACTTCTGAGGTAACTTTAGGTGGACTTGAACCTCCAAAGTCTCAGTTAGCTGCTCAACATGTTAACCACTGGCATTACCCAAGAACTCAACTCAAAAGATGGCTTCCTCTGCCAATGGCTCCTGGACTGGCCATGGAGACCTAGCCCTCCAGCCTGTGTTGGTGGTAAGGTCTAGGATGCCCATGCCTGCTCTAAAAGAACCCAGCTTTGCATGAAAGTCCATCTCGTGCTACTACAAGCAAGAGGCCTTCACTGGAGTCCATGCAGTGTCAAACAGATGCAACAAGTGTACAGCTGGGGTAACTTCCTGACCTTTGAGTTTAGGGAGCCCAGAGACTAGCAGTGCCCACTACCTGGGTATGGGTGGGACTGGCGAGCAAGCAGGGTCATGAAAAATCTATCCTGGGACTTTTCCCTTTGGGCAGGAGGCATCCCATCAGTCTGTTATGAAGCTAAAGCTCTGCCACAATGTGGGTGTGGGCAGTGCCTTCTGAGGATGCAGAGACAGGTTCCTACACACTCTCTGAGCTCCTGGATCAAGCTGTGCCTGAAGTCCCTCCCCGCACAAATCCATCAACCCATCTTTATACATATGCCAATTTGAATTACGTTTCTGACAAGTATACTTGGGAGTCAGCACCAATTGCTGGGTGCACTAATAGGGTAAACACAGATGTGCCCCTTGGCTCTTGGGCCCTCCTAACTATTCAGTGTCAATACCAATAGGAACCCTGGTGGCACTGTAGGATAAGAATTAAACTGTTAACCACCAGGTCTGCAGTTCGAACCCACCAGCCCGCTCTGCTGGAAAAAGATGAGGCTGTCCCCATACAGATTTATAGCTTCCAAAACCCAGTGTTGTTGTTGTTGTTAAGTATCATCGAGTTGGTTCCAACTCATAGTGACCCTGTATAGGGTTTCCAAGGAGTAGCTGGTGGGTTTGAACCAACCTTGTGGTTTGCAGTCTAGTGTTGATCATACAGCACCACACCAGGAGTCACTGAAACCCTATATAGGGTTGCTGTGAGTCAGAACCAGCTTGATGGCAGTGAGTGAATGAATGAATGACTCGGGCCCCAGAACTCAGGGCTGGTTTCTTCTCGCACACCTAGGACTTGATGGAAGTGAATGAGTGAGTGAGTGAGTGAATGAAGCTTTGACTTGGGCCCCACAATTAGGGGCTGGTTTCTTCTCACATGCCTAGGTTTCTCAAGAGGAAACACCCACTTTAATAACAAGAGTAGGTGATGTGGGGTGAGAAAGGACCCCTCCGCCTGAGTCTGGAGAACCCCACAACCAATTGCGGCTCTGGGGCTTCAGTATCGTCATCAGTGAGGGTGGGCCCCGAAGGACCACAGCAGACCCACTCACTCAGTCATACTTCAGAAGAGGGCCAGCTCACAGGTGCCCAGCTCCCCTACCACCACCCTGAGGAGGGACACCCAGAAGACAGTGAGAGGCCAGGGCCAGGCAGTGAGTGCAGAGAATATGAGGATCTGGGAGGCGGAGACCCCAAGAAGGGAAGGAAGTCAGCAAGTCTCCTGTCTGCCACCAATGTGTCCGCCAGGCCACAGTCTCTGGGAGGGTGTCCTGTGGCCCTTCTCCAAACTTTCTGTGTTTCTCCTCCAGCAGCCTCATTTCTACAGCTGGTCCTGATGGGGGCAGGGAGCATGTGCTGCCCAGGAACCTTAATGGGGACAGGGCTCCCAGGATGCAGCTTGCTTCCCTCACTGACAGATCCCCCTCCTTTCATAGCCCCTCGGACCCGTCCACCAAAGGCAGCAGTACCTCAAGCACGTGTGCCCCCCCACCCCATGCTGATCTTAAAAAAGCCTGTCAACTAGACATTGGACACAGTGCCTGTTACAGGTGCCTGGCATGCTCCGTGGTGTGGCCCCAGACCAGACTCTGCCAGTAGGCACAGCCAGCCACATCAGTGCCAGCTCACCTGCTGGACGGGACGTGGAGCCGAGCCCTGGCACATCTCTGAGGCACCGTGCCAGGACCTGCAGGGACCAGGAAGAGACTGAGGGCCACTTGGAACTCTGGGATTCTCATCATAAGCAGCCAGGCCGCCTGGATGCTCTTCCCAGACCCACAAGCCTGCCACCTGTTTTCTGCATTGCTCCAGGGCAGAGTTGTTTCCCAGCAGTTCGCAGACATGTTTTTAGACCTGTTACAATGTTACAACAAGTGGAAGTGGTCACCCGCCCTTTCTGAGGCCCAGTGCCACCTCCAGCCGGCCAGGGCTTCCTGTGCCAAAGCTAGAAAACTGCTCAGAAGTTTGCAGCCGGTGTGGACAGGGCTTTCTGTGAGACAGACAGTAATTTCTGGACAAACCCAACACCTTGGTCTTTCTACCAGCACCAGCTCTGGGAACAAGTGGGTGGGGAGTTGGAACCCAGATGCCACCTACAGGAGAAGGTCTCCGCATCACCTTGTCTCCGTATCATGGGAGGAGACACCAGGAGAAAAGATACCGGGACTATAGAGCCACAAACACTGCCCTGCTCCTTCCTTCCCCTCATCGAGGCTGAGTTGGCACAGTGTTACCAGGGCTTCACCAACCAGCCAGGTGTCTGTGCTACTGAATGTGTCACCCTTCAGATGTGCTGATGTCCCCAAGAAGTCCACCTCCAGGAGCCTCTCCCTGACCTGGCTTGGCTGTTCCACCCTATGTGACGGGATTAAAGAAACCCAGTGGGTACGTGGTCCAG